TCTTCAAGGTCGGATTTCTCCTCACCCGAAATCGATAGAGTGGCTTTCGTCAGCCTTGGCAGTTTGTCCATCGTCACCACCTCTAGGCTTATGCCGATTGACCCTCCGCTGAGGGTCTGTGTTTTGTATTTTAGCCAGGCCAACGATACGTCGATCTCCCCTGGACGTGGGTGACTTACTATCTCCACTGGAGGTGGCCAGGGTTCTGTCCAGTTCCTCTAGTAGAGTGTTTTTTCGGATTTCCTCCTTATCGGCAGGCAGTTTGCCGTAGGGGTTGTCCTTATCAATGATTGCTACTCTCCCGTGGCTACTCGTAGCATCTTTGTAGCTTCTGTTGGCAGAGACTAGGGGGGCCACCTGACGTGGCCTCATGCGTCTGTTCGGAGTTTCCTCGTTGGACGTCCCCGATATAATTATCGGGGGGGACACGTTCCGGTCCTCATGGGGAGGTGGAACTGGCGTCGCTGCCCGTGGACTTAGGAAGGGGGCACTGCTCCAATCGGCGTGCCTTCTGCCTTCTTTTAGCCTTTGCCCCGCAGATTCTTTCACCTCGCCTGCGACGGTTGGCGGTTGTTTTGGTTTTATCCTGAGGTGAGCCACTAGGTCCAGTCTCGGGATTGGTTGTTTTAATTGGATTTTTTGTTTTTTCTTCCATACTTGTTCCCATGAAAAGCTAGGGAAATAAACTGTCGCCGCCGGCAGAGCCCCGCATGTCAACGGAAGGCTTCTTAAAACTGGGTGTCGCCGGGTCCCCGGGTCCGCATAGCTTCGGCCAAGCTTCCCCTTGGCCATGCAGTCCTCGGCCCACGCTGATCCATCTTGACTTTATTGTGGCTCTGATCCACATTGAGTCATTCTTCGCTTTATCTACCGGCCTCATTCCATTGAGGGGGGAACGGGAGCAGTGATTACTATGCCCCCTTACCAACGGCGAGGTCTCATGACTCCTTAAGGGAGGGTTCTGTCCACAGGGTTCTGTCTAGATTGACTGTTCAATCATCATCCGGTTTGCAAATGCAGTTAAGTGAAGCAACGGTAATTTAATCATATGCATCTCCAAGTTACCGGCTATTTCTACTTCAAAAGATTGACATCCATGATGAAAAAGTCTATTTAGTTCCAGAAATTTGAATTTCCTAAGGCCTGGCAGCTCTAATTGAAATCGGTTGGCCTAGTATGTATTAGTACTATTCCTATAAACTGAAACAAAAAAATTGAAGAGTAGATTTACCTCTTTCACACACATTACAGCTGTTCAGGTTACTCTTGATTTAGGCATCACCGGTAAAGACTTGATAGACAAGCATTATGTGAAAATGGAAATCTAGACGGTGATTATATTATACTTTGATCGTTGATTAAGCATGAGAAAAGCATGGGGAAAGAACCCAATGGACTCAAACCATTAAAGTGAACGCCCTAATATTTTGAAATGTGAAATCTTTTATGCTACCGACCATGATATGTAATAACCAAAGTTTAACAAGTAGACAACTTTTTCCAATTTTTCTGGTGTATTTTGCCTGTGCAGGGTGGCCCAAATTCGAACCTCATCATTGGGATCTTGGTAACCGTGAGAGATACGGGGTCGGGTGAATGGGCTCCTTCACTAAAATTTAAATACGTAATTTAAGTATAAAATCCCAAAGGGGGGACTATTTTAGGCATATATACCAAAAAAAAAAATCTACATGGTTAAATAAGTTTTTTACAGGCATTTGAAACTCGCGAAATTCGAAATCATCTAAAACACGCCAATTCGCTGACGTTACATAAATATTTTTCATTTCGCTCATGTTGTTGCAAGAAGCTGACCGGCTCGGCTGTGTTGCGCTCTGTAAAAGCACAGCAAGGTTCGAATGCGCTGTTGTCGGTTGTGACTGAATGTAGTGCAACGTAAAAAAATAAGTAAAACTAAGCATAAAAAATTGTATTTAATTGTGTTTAAGCATAATTTCAAAAAAATAGTTATTTATTATACAAGACGGTAAAAAGATGCTTTACCTGTGAGTTGAAAATGTTGATTCACGAGCGACGAAGGAGCGAGTGGATTAATTCCACGAACAGGTAAAGCTTTTTTACCGTCGTGTGTAATATTCTATTTTATTCTTGAGCCACTTTTCATTTATCACAATTTCTAAAATCATAAACTAAAATGTGCTTAAATTTTACATATATTAAGACAAATTGACAAAGTACCTAACAAACTGACACATTTCTGGAGTTGTCAATCATGCAACATATCAGATTTTTGTCAAAAACACTATTAATCAACCATCCAAGGACCTTTTTTTTCAGTTACACATGTAAATCCCATACTTTGTGAGTGGATTGCTTACATCAAGTCCTACAACTTTTTCCTCTACGACTTTTCTCGGAAATAGCACTTATGCGCGCAGGCGACTCGCAAACATTTTAGGGGTATCGGACTCCCCCAATTTGCCATTATTTTTGTCGGCCAAGTTGATTTCCGTGATTTAGAAATAAAAATCAAACATTATTCGTAAAATTAGATTTACATGTATCAAGAAACATAACCACGTCAGATCGACATTTTGGGGGTACTCCCCCAATTTGCCATTATTTTTGTCGGCCAAGTTGATTTCCGTGATTTAGACATAAAAATCAAACATTATTCGTAAAATTAGATTAACCTACATGTATCAGAAAACATAGCTACGTCAGATCGACATGTTCGCGAGTCGCCTGCGCGCATACGTGCCATTTCCGAGAAAAGTCGTAGAGGAAAAGTTGTAGGACTTGATGTAAGCAAGCCACTCACAAAGTATGGGGTTTACATGTATAACTGAAAAAAAAGGTCCTTGGATGGTTGACTATATAATTATTATAAAAGATTTGAACAAGTGGGTAAAATTGACATATGAGTGGGTAAAATTGACGTATGAGTGGGTAAAATTGACAAATGACTGGGTAAAAATTGTTCGATTTCACTACTTCAAATAAAGTGTTACTTTAACAACGAGTTTTGTGTCGATTAAATGATAGTTTACCATTCGCGATAGAATAAATGTTATAAAATCTTGAATCCATAACTAATTAATTGAACTACTTTTCATGATATTTTTCCAACATTTCCGAATTAAATCTATTACAAATTTTCAATTTTGACAATTAGTGGCAACATGGTCAAATTGCGAGCTGCGACGTCATAGAAATAAATTCTGGGTTCTTATTTGGAGGTATTTCTTATTTTTCTGTCTTCTCAAGAAGGACTATGAATTTTTCAAAAATAAAAATACAGAAAATTCTGTTTTTAGTTGCTTTATCCAAATATGCCAATTTCAATTAGTGAAAGAGCCCATTATGGCAAAGTTGCGCAATTTTATGACCTCTAGAATACCGTTTTGAAACTAAAAAGATTCTGAATATTTCCGGAGATATTCGGAAAAAAACGAAATTTTGTATAATCGTTTTTATTTTTTCCTGGGCTTATTTGAAGAGCAATTTTAAAGTAAATGTCACTTCATCATCAATTTTAAAGTAAATGTCACTTCATCACTTTTTCCCCTTTAGAAGGTGGTGCTACTAAATTTAAAATTCGAGTTTCGTCTTCAGGCAACCATCCTCAACTTCTTTTTTTTAAATACGGACCTGAATTTTTTATTTTCGATTTTGTCATCTTTGGGCTTCCTAAAACCGATATTTTTTATAATTTTTCAATAACATAGTGAAAAAAGCAGGTTCGTATTTAAAAAAAATAAATTGATGATGATTCCAGAGGAACGAAACGTTGGATTTTAAATTTAATACCGGCATCTTATAGAGAAGAAAAAGTGACAATGGGAATGTAAAATTAGTTTTTTACAATCTTTTCAAATAAAATCAGGAAAAAATGAAAACTATACGAAAAAAACATGAATTATTCGTTTTTCTTAATTTTTTTCCTGATTCCATTTCAAAAGATTTTGAAAAACTAATTTCATATTCCCGTTGTCATTTCTTCTTCTCTACAAGATGGCGGTATTAAATTTGAAATGCAACGTTTCGTTCCTCTGGAATCATCATCAATTTATTTTTTTTAAATACTGACCAGCTTTTTTTACCGTGTTATTAGAAAATTATGAACAGTATCGGTTTTAGGAAGCCCAAAGGTGACAAAATCGCAAATAAAAAATCTAGGTCCGTATTTAAAAAATCTGAGTTGAGGATGGCCGCCTGAAGACGAAACGTCGAATTTTGAATTTAGTAGTACCATCTTCTAGAGGGGGAAAAGTGACAATGATGAAGTGACATTCATTTCAATAGTATATTGTGTATTTAGGTGGAAAAGTAACACATTCTCGGCCGACGGTGTAAGTTGACGGGCGAGGCGTAGCCGAGGCAGGCAAACACCGAAGGCCGAGAATGTGCTTTTCCACCGAAATACACATACTATTTTTTCTGCGATCGGTTAAATATCTGTTAAATGTTCGTATTTTGGTTTCAATTATTCAGCAGTACGAGAATCACTTTCCCGGCCTAGGCCGGAAAAGTGTTTCCGGTATTGTTATTCATTGATTCCTTAGCAACTATTGAAAAATAATTAAAATACCAGAAATTGAGTTTTGCGACCTGTCAACCGGTCAAAAATGCTGACATTTCTTGTCAATCGCAGAAAAAATTGCTTTTCCTACAGCCGTGCGGAAAAATCGATTTTCCGCACTGATATGCGTGCGGAAAATGAGTTTTCCCGCACGGTGCGGTAAATTTTTTTTTTTTGACATATCAGTGCGGAAAAAGTTTTTCCGCACGGCTGTCAGTGCGGAAAAAATTTTACCGCACTGATATGTCAAAAAAAAAAAGAAAAATTTTACATTTTTTCGCCTGTAGGAAAAATATTGTACCTAACACTTGCGGAAAATATTTTTCCGCACTCGGCTGCATCACGGAACTCCGCTACGCGTCGTTCGGCGAACGGCAGCCGCGTGCGGAAAAATTCATTTTCCGCACTTGTTAGGTAAATAGCTATTTCAGAAAAGCCCGGGAAAAAATAAAACGATTTTACATAATTTCGGTTTTTTCCGAATATCTCTGGAAGTATTCGGAATCTTTCTAGTTTCAAAACGGCATTCTATTGGTCATAAAATTGCGCAAGTTTGTCATACTTTAACCGACCCCGTTTCTCTTACGGTTACCAAGATCCCAATGATGAGGCTCGAATTTGGGCCACCCTGTACTTTATTAGCAATAAGCCCAATAGAAAAAGTGGTAGTTTTTATTATAGTGTATTTCTTAATAAGCTGGTATAATTAAACAAACTCGACTAATTTTAATCCCCTTAATCATCTGAAGAGTGAAAGCTTTTGGCACACAGCTTTTCTTTCTTATGAAAATCACCTAATTTTCAGTGATCAAAAATTTGACCGAATAAAACGTCCAATGAACGCTTTTATGGTCTGGTCAAGGATCAGAAGAAAACATATTTCCACCGACTACCCTAGACTACACAACTCTGAAATTTCGAAATTATTGGGCGCGGAATGGAAAATGTTATCTGGTAATAATGTTTTTTTTTTTTTTTTCAAATATTCAATATTCGGAATATAATTTCTTTTCAGAGATCGAAAAAATGCCTTTTATTGATGAAGCCAAAAGACTGAGAAGCCAACACATGGTGGATTACCCACATTACAAATATAAGCCGCGTAGAAAGAATAAGGAACAAAAGGAAACAAACAGTGAAAAAAAGGCTAAAGCTGGATTTTATGATCCTCTACAGATTGCAATTAATAGGACTTTTTATGGAACAACTTGTGGTAAAAATAAATCTATGGTGATTAGGCTAAAGAGTACAAGTCAAAATTAGACAAATCAAGAAAAATGCTTTCGAAATATTAGACTTTAAAATAATCGGATTTTTTGTGGCTGTTTCGGACGAATCGAATTTTTAACTTTACAAAGGTGTTTTTTTATTAGAGATAATCTATTTTTTTATTTTTTTTTTGTTCTGTTTTTTTTTATTACAAAAAAAAATGGACTTATACTCTTTTGACCAGACCTATAGATGACATATATTATTATGAAATAAGATAATATGACTTATAATATCTTGACCTGACCTAAGAAATGACTTATACTAGTTTTGCTCAACCCAAAATTTGATATTTGCAAAAACTGGAAAAGAAGGCCAACTCTTTTTCACAAAACACTTTTTTTTTGCTGATAACATAACCTCTTTGGTCACCAAATGGTACTAAGAGTATAAGTCGACCGACAAAATCAGGATAGGAATAGTATAAGTCTACTTGTACTATTTGAATTTTATTAATAGTGTATAATCTAAATAGTAAAATTCAACTTATACTGATACCTATGCCCAACAGATTAAAATTCCTTTTAAGTTAAACTATGTGGATTGAAATTAAAAGTAAAGTATTTCAAATAAATTGACTGATACTGTTTGGACCAGTCGATGTAGGAACCGAAAATATATACCAAAATGACTTAAACTCATTTTCGCAAAATTTTGACTTGTACTCGTTAGCTCACCCACCATAGAAATATTATTTTGTAAAAAAATTGTATTGTTCGATTTCCTCACTTACGATGTATGTTACTTTACTCTAAAGTAGGTATGCCATCTAACAAAACAAAAAGAACTCTTTTTGCATGATAAATTTAATCTTTCAGAAAAAGTGCCTTTTTCCATCCAAATAGACCATGCCAAAAAATACTATCCAGAGGTAAATGCCCCAGCCTACTCACCTCCAACGGCCTACAATCCTTTGCCAGATGGCTTACCAACCTCTACAATTCCTAATTACGGAACTCCAAAATATGTAAATCCAGTTTTTAATAATTTTCATCAAAAATTTAATTAAACGAGCCTTTTGCAGGATTTCCAAGAACAAATAACAACTGCTTCCTACAAAGAAAGTGAAAATAGCACTTTGACGCAGGATTATGGCTCCGGTTCGCACCCTTTGCCGCCATGCAACTCGTTGCCGGGCAATTTCCATCACCGAGCGTTGTTAAGGGCAGCTTCCCTCTACGCTTACCACGATTTGGCTTCTAATAACACTTTGCCGGTGTATTTTCCACAGATTTAGGATTAAATCTTATGGTTTGCATGTAGGATTTTTTTTTATAGCCGAATAATTAATTATTTCCTGGAAGTAGGATTAGTTTAATTTGGACACCATAGAAAATATCGACTAATTATGTACGGAATAAGAGGCCCATAAAAGAAAAAGCCATAAAACTACATATATATAGGTACTTAATCAAAATGGCAAATATGTACACAATGAGTATAAAAGTTTTAATGGTTTATTTGTATAATATCTCTATATTGCATCGCTTGCATGGTAATAAAACAAGCATCAAATAATCATAGGGAAGATAAAGTGTTTGAGTTAAATTATTGTTTGGTTACAATGTTCAACAATTCACCAGGAACCTAGAAAGGTATTGAAATTAAAAATTAGGCTCTGAAATCAAGACCTCCAAATAAAAAAATAAAAAAACAATCCCGAAACTTCTGTACTGTATATAATAGGTATGTACTGATGCAGCAGCGACGGCAGCGAGTCGTATTTTCATTTGTTTGTTTTTTTTTTTTTTTTGAAAAAAAAAAGGTCTATTGACATATTTCAAACCATAAGGTATAACAGTTTATACGCAACTTCCATACTTCAAACATGTCTAGTTCATCTTCAGATGAAGACTTTTTATTGAAGGAAGATACATTCCTAAGGATGATGCAATGGACGAAGCAAGGTGTACATCCAGTAAACTACAAATTCATCCCGGTAAAAAGTCGGCGCCGATCTGCACTAGCAACAAGCACCGATGTGCTTTGTCTGTGTGCGGGTGCATTTAAACGTGGATTCAATCATTGGTGCTTATAAGCGCTTGTTACCAGCAAGCAGGCAACCGGCTTTCTTTGTGTGCGTATCCTAAGGGTACGCACACAAAGAAAGCAGGTTAATCGGTTTTCGGCCAACTTAGACGCAATTTTCATACTACAAAGATTATACATCCAGTAAATCGTGAACGAAAACTTTATGGTGGATATCATTTATTCCTTCTGCACTATATATTCCTGTTGCTGTAGGACTTAAGTCGTTTGTCCCATAATACATTTCTTTGAAAAATCGCAGAAATCAGTAATTCGACATCTATTATCGATGCAAGTCCAGCTCCGACCAGCGACCCAGAACTAAAAATTCATTCCGGTAAAAAGTCGACACTAGCAACAAGCACCGATCTGCTTTATCTGTGTGCAGGTGCATTCAAACGTGGATTTAATTATTGGTGCTTATAAGCGCCAGTTACCAGCAAACAGGCAACCTGGGCTGGAACTCTGTAACGGATAGAGATCGCTATCCCTATCGCTATGGTACTTGCTGTCTTCTTTTCTCTTGTCGAAATTAATAGAGAGAAGACGTCAATAGAGATAGAGAAAATATCTCTATCCGTTACAGAGCCCTGCTTTCTTTGTGTGCGTACCCTAAGACTATGGCCCTGAGATGCCATAGATCAGTACCGGAATGTTGGTTTGTTTGATTCAATTTTTTTAAGAAAATTTTTCAAAGAAGCTGAGGCTTATTTCACCCTTTAACTTAATTGGGCGAGACCTTCTATCATCACACTTTCACACAGGATGTTTCCTGGGCTTGAATGAGAAGAGTTGTACCTAACTTGATTATTGAAACGCTTCTATTTTTCTTGTAAAAGTTAATGGAAAGTGTCCGTCATATAATATGTAAGCTTTCTCAGTCAGCTGTACAGACGGCATTCTTGCGGAATTCTTTAAACAAGGAGGCCCCACACTTAGTGCCCAAACCCACATCCTAATAAGTAAAATATGGATTTCTGATACCATACCGCCGAACTGAGAGATGCCTCCTTGCCACAGTTTATACCGTGCCGATATAGTTGTTCAACTTCGTTGACAAACCATAGATTTTTTGAAGCCAAATTCTATGTCCCTATATTTCGCGCTTGCGCATTATTGATCGGAAACAACGAATCCTGGGCCGTGGACAGAGTCGGACTAGGATTTTTTGTGGATTAACATTGAGAATATAACGGGATCATATAATAATAAACAAAGATTATGTGAATGTATGGAGTAAACCTAATATGAAATATGTAAATATAAATACTTACAGTCGTTCATCGTTCGGGAAACTAAAATATCCTAAGCCTGGGCTTGTTCTAGTGTTGTTTTTACAGACAAAACAGGAAGCAACCATGATAATACACAATATACACTGCTCAACAATTGAAGTGGATATTTTAAAATTTTGTATTTATTTTGTCAATACTTCAATGAAAAGTAAAAAATCATGTAAAATAAAAACATTTTATTGATTGATTATATCACCCCAGAAAAAAAAAACAATTTTTAATGCAAAATTTAACATTTAAAAAAAAACTGTTTAAATTGGGAGAAGTAACAACACAAAAAAAATCTTGTATCGCAAAATTCACAAAATCCCTATAAAAAATTAATATCGTGTTGGACCTCCTCTGGTCCGCCTTAGTACTGTCACTCTATTCGGAAGGCTCATTATCAAATTATTGATGAATTGCTGAGGTATGATTTGCCAAATTGCCTGCAACTCATTAGCCAACTGTTCTAGGGTTTGGGGAGGTTGTGGAATCCGGTTTAATCGCCTAGACATTTCGGCCCAAACATGTTCGATACAATTCATATCTGGTGAACAGGGTGGCCACTCCATTCTTGTGATTCCATGATGTTCTATGCGATCGTTCACAATTCTCGCACGATGCGGACGGGCATTATCATCAATTAATACAAATTGTTCACCTATTGCACCAAAAAATGGGACGACTATCGACTCTATAACCATGTCTCGATATCGTATGGCAGTCATTGTCTCATTAATTAAGATCACTAAATCAGTGCGACCATTATGACATATGCCTCCCCAAACGCAAACTGACCCACCACCAAAAAGAGTTGTTGGGGCCATTAAATGTTCACTGTATCGCTGTCCTCTTTCTCGCCAAACCAATATTCGACCATCACACGTATACAAACGAAATCTAGACTCGTCGGTAAAGAGGCAGTGCCTCCAATTTTCAACAGTCCAAAGACTATGGTCTCTCGCCCAGCGATATCGGCATGCACGCTGCTCCGCCGTCATTCTTGGGTGGGTAGCGCGACGTCTAGCCCTCAAGTTACATGTATGCAATCTTCTTCTGATAGTTTGACCAGAAATCACTCTTCCAGTAGCTTGTCTGAAAAAGCTGTTAATTCTTGAAGCCGTGAATGTTCGGTTTCTTCTTGCAGCCAGGACTATGAAGCGGTGTTGAGCAAGAGCTGTAGCTCGTTCCCGTCCTCCACCATGTGTGTACGCTGCAGACCCAGTTGCTAAATACCGATTCCACGCACGACTCACGACATTTTGAGACACATTCAGCCGCACGGCGACTTCTTCTAGAGAAAAACCTTCCTGCATCCAACGCAATAATTGCTCGAGTTGCACTGCTTCTAATCGTCGTAACGGCATTATTCTTTAAGCAAATACGCAAAACTATTGATAACAGTAGCAAAATCAAGTGTGTACAAGCGGTTCGGTAGAACTGATACTTTCAAATTTTAAAACAATATTCCTGCATATTTCCGTGAAAGAGATAAGGGAGAGAGAGCATCGACAAAAAACAATAAACATGCAAAAAATATTCGCCATAAATACTATTTATTGATAAAATAAAACACGTCTTTTTTTTCATATTCTCAAATGTAGATTTCAGGATTTTTGCAATTATCCAGTTCAATTGTTGAGCAGTGTATAAACGATAAAACAGTCAAGTACCTACACAAAAATCGCGAATAACATGGAAAGCAAGACACTCTTAAAGCCCGGGACACATCTATCATGCATTCTTCCGATCCGACTCCGATCATACAATCAGGGTCCTTATTCTTGGAACGGAGAGCAGTATTCCCAGGCGTTCTTCTGGGAACGCTGCTCCCCTGTTCCAAGAATAAGGACCTTGATTGTATGATCGGAGTCGGATCGGAAGAATGCATGATAGATGTGTCCCGGCCTTAAGCCGAATTTCAAATTGATGAATTTTCTGGTTACTTTTCAATTTCCTGAATAATTTCAGTCAAAAAACTTCTCTTCTTTTTTTGTAATACAATCGTTTTGCGTGCAGGATTGGAAAGAGACATGTATATGCCGAACTGCTTTTTCAATTTGAGAGATTTGTTCACTCATTGAGCGCATGCGCAAGATATGAGACAAAATGCTCCTATTGGTTGGAGAATTTGGCCTCAAAAAATATGGAGAGTTGTACAACTGTATCGGTACGGTATAAACTGTGTCCTTTCTCCTTGCCCTCCTGTTGTGTATTGGACTGTCAAAAGTGGCAACACTGGGAACAAACTAAAAAAGAAGATACGCTTGACAAGATGGAATGTTCTCCGAGTTGTCATAGGTTTTCCTAGTTGTCAGTTGTTTTCCTAATTGTCATATTATGTTCTGCTAGTTGTCATGGTTTTAACCTTAGTGGTTTTTAACACGTTTAATCAGTTACCAATGTATTCATCGTTAATGTATGTTGTATGTTGTATTTCTCGTTCTCATAGAAAATAAAGAGTTACATAACATAGTGTTGTTTGTGTTGCTGTACTGAGTGTTATTCCTACCACGAACATAACTTTTTTGGCGACGAGAATGGGATTGCGCCGACCGTAATCGTCAGGAATTGCATCGAAACGTTAAATTAACCAGTGTAGTTATGGCGGCGTTAGGAAATATTGAACATTTTAAAGTAAATGACCCGAATTCTTGGGAATCATATCAAGAAAGATTAGAGTTTTCTTCACAGCAAATGAAATTACCACAGAAGAAAAGCAAAGAGCAGTTTTTCTTAGTTTCTGTAGGCCCTCTACGTATGATATCCTTCGCACGCTAGTTACGCCAGCCAAGGTGACCGATAAGTCGTATGCAGAAATCACAAAAATCTTGAAAGAAAAGTTTGTACCACAAACCTCAGAAATAGTTTGTCGGTTCAAGTTTCACCGAAGGAATCAAAAACCCGGCGAGAGTATTCAAGTTTATGTCAAAGAGCTCCGGCAGCTTGCTGAAAATTGTGGCCTTGGTACGGACCTGGAAACCATGCTACGAGATAGACTGGTGTGTGGTGTGTGTGATGATGATCTCCAACACCGGCTGCTAGCGATAAAAGACATTGATTTTAAAAAAAGCACTAGATTCCTGCATCGCTCAGGAAGCAGCCACCCGAAATTTA